ATATATATATTATTTTAATTATTTTATCTCTTTACTTTTTTCTGTTAATTAGGAATAACTTTTCTAAAATTAATTTTTTTAACACTTTTTGTTTCATGCAAAAATAGTTTTATCACACCAGACGTTTATACCAAATCAATGCAATTTTTATTATTACGTGATTTAATGAAATAAAATAAACTATAAATTTAAACACATAACATACATATATTAACTTAACATAAACATCCGATACGAATAAATTTTATTACCCTTTTACAATCCCTAAGGCAAATAACGGAAAACATAAAATAAAGACATGGTGTCTCAACCATTTAACAGGAAACTAAAAATATTAAGATATTTATAATCAAATCAACATTTCGATTCAAACACATAATTACTTATTTATAAATTAATTTCAAACTTTTATCAGTTATCATAGATATACTTATCAGCTATGTTTAATCAATTAAGCCAAACATATTGTTTTATTAGGAAGCTAAAGCATGAAAAAATTACCTTATTATGAAATGAAATATTGACAAAATAGTTTCATTAATGTTTCAATATTGACTTTTTTTTAATCATTTGACTTAATTTTGCATGCACTTTACAACTTGTGCTACACGGATTTTCTGTTTCAAGACAATTTACAACTTGTGTTACCCAATTAGTCCTCCCTCCGTCCGAAAACGTTTATCATTTTACACTTATTAAAAGTCAATTTAACTAATTTTTAAAAGTAAATTAGAGCCCATTAATTCGGTATTTTAAACAAAAAAATTAGATATTCTCATACTATATGAAAAGTACTATAAATAACAATTTTTTTGCATATTACTATGATGAAAAAATTCATCTTAAAATGTTAATCAAAATTTTTATAGTTTGACTCTAAAAATAAAAAACCATGACAAACAATACCGAACGGAGAGAGTAATTAACCCGTTAGTAATTATTAGTCAAACTGATTTAACATTTCCATTAAGCTAATTATTACTTTTTGAAGAAAAATTACATATGTCAAATGTCTAATAGTACGTAAATAGATTCGAAAAAACACAGGGCATTTATAATTAATAATAATAAGGTTAATAGTACTTTTGATACCTCCTTCGCTATTGGTAAATTCCTATTTTGATTCTATTGTTATTTAGCTAATCATATTTAATCTTTAATTGATTGAAAATTGAAATATATACTTTTGATCCCTTTTCTAGTAGTATATGTTCACAAATTTATTATGATTATTAATTATTCTACTCATTAATTACTCATGTGCTATGATAAATTTATGTTATTAATTCTTTTTTGAAGGTAATATTATTCTAAAAATAATACTAGCACAAATATAACCACACATTTCAATTAATTATTAAATGCGCTTAGTCGAATATCGAGGGACTAAAATTGCTATTATCCCTTAATGATATTATCATCATAGGAATCTTTTGTTTTTACTACAAAATAAATAAAAATTATGTCTATCATGCTCATTTTCCGCGGTGCAAATAGTACAATTCATTATGGTAGTGAATTTTAAAAAATAAATTAGAAATTAATTAATATTTATTATCTTTTAAACATTTTTATTTTATTTTATATAAAATCCAGCAAAGCAAATCTAGGTAAATGATTATTTTCACCCAAGAAAAAGGGGAATGATTTTTGGCAATAACAGCTAATTTTCATGATTAGCATTTGTTATGATTTTCTTGATTAGATTTGATGGGATTTTGGCCCCATTTTCTCTCTACATTTTATTTTTTGTTGCTTTTTCTTGTTAATAAAAAGTGGGGAATTTTGGTTACACAAAGTGACGAAATTTTCATCAAATGCTTTTTTGAGTAATTATTAGTGTTTATAAAAATAAAATAAAACGATCAATTTTATACTACCTTTAATGGTTTGAAAAATGATCCATATGTTGCAACGAACTTTTTGATTATGCTAAATAAAACAAATTGGTTTTGTCTTTAATTTTACAGAGATTTCAATGACAAGAAACAATTTTTTTTAAAGCCAGCAGTGTCCGAGTCAACTTTCACTCAGCTCGACTAATTCCACGAGATACCTGTTTAGGCTGTCACCTCCCACCCACAACAAGTATCAATAGAAAAGATCACCTAGTATATTTTATTTCCACTGAAATCTAAGGATTCTCAACCACTTCATTGACCACTAGGCCACACCTTCGAGTACACCACCCTAGGATGCACCGGAAACATTTTATAAATACAAAGATTATAAGTCTTCTTTTCTTCAAGGTATATACATATATATGTATACTAAGTTTTTCTTCAAAGTTAGTGAATGCATATGCACCCGAATCCACCACACGGGTCCTCCTCTGGTCTCGAGAGGGTGGGACGTATGTAAACCTTACACTGTGTAAGACGAAAAAAACCAATAACATTGTTCTTTTATAACTAACTAATGTATTACATAAATTGCTTGAACCTTGAAGGAAATCATTAAGCCAAGCTCAAAATCAAAAAGGAATTATTGAGAATGAACATATCATTAAATAACAATGCTTTCAATTTTGTCAAAGGGTGAACTTAGTTATTACAAAGTAAATCACCTAATGCAAAGAAGAATCCCCCTTCTTTCTCTAAATAAACCAAAACATAAGATAACAATATCAAATGTTGGTTTAGCAGAACTTCTAGTCCTTCATTTACATATCAAAAGTAGACTACCTCATAGCATCTTAGAAGACGTAATTGTCATCATAAGACGAACCAAACGTGAGTTCATAAACAAGTGACCTGAGGATTGAGAGTCTGATAAAACGTACATTGAAGTAACTAATGAGAGTTCAGGATCCAAAAAGTGGAGGATCTATCATCTGTGAGCAGTAAGCAACTGAACCTTCTCTTTGTGGTGCCGTTTCCAGTATTGCTCTCGACTGTTTTTCTAGTACTACTGCAACCATGTAAAGGAAAAGAAAGAAGATAAGAATCAATGTATAGATGATCTTAAAGCTTGTTTATGAGGAACGTAGGCTTGAAGCTTATATCATATTTCAAGTCCAAAACAAAGACGATGTTGATTTATGATGGACATTATATCTTGTGGAACTATATGCTAATGATAAGAAACCTAAAGTGTTGAGGTCAGACCCTTCTAAATTGAGACTTTGGAGCAACCATTTGCTTATATAGGGCAAACCAGTAAAACGGATAATCCGATTTGAGCATTAAAAAGTCTAGTTAATGACACTAAGAGTTTTAGACAACATTTATATCAAGAACACCTACAACTTATCAACCTAAGCAATGAATTCAAGAGGAAATATCACCACATGCTGCAAACTGAACAAAATCTCAAACTGCTTCAAGAGTAAAATACCATATCATCTATGACTATTCCCAGTATTTCAAGAATATTACCTCTATATGTGTATAGCGCATATGCAATCATTGCCTTATTCCCAGAGATTTAAAAAAGTGTGTGTGTGTGTGTGTGTGTGTGTATATATATATATATATATATATCAGTCAAAATGTAGAACTTAAATGTCGAGCAGAAACAAAAGCAGCAGTAATATGCTGACTAATTATTATAATCAAAATATCAAATCGTTCAGTAAAGGAGATCTGAATAGATTAGAAAAGAAACATCTTTGGACTACTTAAAAACATTTTTTTAAAAAAATTAATCAGGAAAAACATGTTTGGCCTTAACTACGATATTGTAAAGGAAATGCAGATATCATATAAGCAACTGATTTTGGTAGTAACCCATTAAATTAATTTTCACAGTGAAAATTAAAACTTTACAATTCCAAAAGGGAACAGAAGGAAAGAACTTAAGCCCGCTACTGATCATTCCGTGTTATTTTCATGGTTGATTGCAATAAATTACTGTAATGTGTTCGAGTAATCTTGCATCTATGCTTGAATCTTTTCCTTGTTGCAAATTATATTTTCTTGAGAAGATATAAATAAACAATACAAGGCTTGAATATATTTTATATGTATATTTTCCCTCGGTTTAGTGGCATGTTTGGCTTCTTTATTCAGCAAGTAGAAGAAACTCCTAACTTTGTAGGGTGATAAGTGAAAAAGCACAGTGGGAGTTTCCCCCTTTCCTGGCTGAGGCTTTAACCGTGAAACTGCCCATTAAGTTTCATGATGTATGTTGGAGAAGAAACGATACCGTTTAAGATTAACTTTCTATGGTGAAAGGGAAATGAGATGTCTGTACAGTTGTTGCTACCACTGCTTTTGCTGCTCTAAGTTATTTGTTACTTCCTTTGTATGAAAAATGACATTCTTACTTCCTGTTTCACTTTGAATCTAACTGTTTTTTCTCTTTTGGTTGAATGTTATCGATTATGTGTATGTATAGACACATATTGAAGCCAAATGTGTTTTTCCATAAAATTTCACTCAAGGTTTTATGGTTTCCCAACTAGGGAAATGTGGCTTACTCGGCCACTAGACACATGAGTATTTCCCAACTAGACTTGATTACAAAACCGAAGGCCAAGACTGTTTAGAAGGAATACGGTTTCCATATTGTCCCCACATAAACTCATATAATTACAGTTTTTTACTTCAATAAACCCACGCTTCAGTTGTGCTTTGTGCATTACGCTCCAGCAGGTAAATGTAGCTTTTGGCAATTGACAACACAACTAGAAAAAATCAAGCATGAGTTCAAAGACATATTGGCGTTATCATTTATGTACAGTTTAGACAGGCCATTGAGAGAATCATCAAATGTACCAATAAGTTCTTATTAGCATTTCCTGTCCTTAAAGGATACAAAACGTTCCTTTCATATAACAGTCACCATTTTTCATGTCAATATCATGACAAACGTCATCGCAGATCAGAGGTGCCTTAAATGCATGAATTTATTAAACCATTAATAGGTATTGAAGATATTTCATTCATATTGATACTTCATTCAAAAGGAAATCACAAAAATGCACACATAAGAGTACAACAAAATCAGCACCCAAGGGAGTGGACTAAAAAGCCTAGTGTTCAATAAAGTGCATTGAGAACCATAATGTCTCATGTAGCAAAAACACTAGGTGAGTTCAACAAGTGTCGTATGGAATTAGTCGAGGTAAGCATAAGCTGACCCATACACCAAAGTTACATGAAAAAAAAACAGCTTCCTTTTTACTCATCTCAAACAAAAAGTTATACAAGTCATATTCCAGAATCAAAAGATTAAGATCAGATTATCCGAATTCAATCTCACAAGTAGTTACCGGGTTCATTGATTATCTGCCAGCTCCTGTTGATCTATGCCTTCATTTTTTAGGTTCCCAAACTTGTCCTTGAAAGAATCTTGCCTCTGCAACCACATCATGTGACCCTGCCCAACAAATTACACAAATTGGAGGAAGATACTACAAAGTGAAGGAATCGATACCTCGCCAACAAGGTGAAAATTGAAATAGTCAATCAACCTTGCTACTAAGATTTATTTACCAAAGCATACTTGAAAATTGAAATTACCTGGAGAGCAGCAGCCCAGACAATGAGGAATGAAGCGAACCAGAGTTTCTTGTCCTTGAGAAGTTCCTTCACTACAAATTTTCTCTTCTCCATTGATGAGTACCTCAAAACCCCTTGTTACTGAAACACTGTAATTTGCATATTGAAAAATTGAATTCGGGTTAATATTTCTCAAACGGGTTAAATTTTATGTAAATTATACTTCACTCCCACAAGTTTTACATTGTACTACTAGTCTCACGCTTTATACGTATTTATTATCTTTAAATATAGCTCAATGTGCATAAAAATTTAAAAGAAATAACAAATGGTTAATCATGATCAAGGTATTACGAGTGCAATGGTAAGATCGCGCCTCCTATTTCATGATCACTAAGCACAATAATCAAACTAGCCTTTCTATTGATTGCGATTGTGAAAGATTCAATCTAACATTCACAGCACAGTAAAAACTCATCTCAACCTCCTTGAATCCTAATTAAGATCATCCCAACAAGTTCTAAGTGATAATAAAAGACAATTCAAAACATAATTGGTACGTCAACACTAAAATCGAGGGAGTGAATTGTTATACAAAGTCACTAGAAAATTACCCATTTTCCAACAACATAAATGTTCAACATAAGCTTCTACAAGTAAAACAAAAGAAAAGTTATATCCAAAAGAATATTCATAACTTATCATTCCTTGTTAAATTTTGTATATTGACATATGAAAAGTGAATGTATACACATAATTTCAACTAAACTAAATGTTCAAAATGGCCTCTTTAGGTTCTTCAAATCCAAAGAATCAATACACTCTACCTCACCTCTATGTAAATTCAACAATTTCAACAACTCACTTGCCTTCTCCTTAGTATTTTCACCACAACCAACTTGTATTAGTAACAATAGCTTTTGAAATGCACCAACTTGAAGTGCTTCATTAATAAGCACAACATTATCATTCTTCCCAATTAATAACTTCCATAATATTGAAACTGAAAATTCAGTTGCTAAATCTGAAACTCTCAATAATTTCTTGATCAAAACAGGAATAGTTAAGGCATAATTATTAGCCCTTTTTCTCCCTTCTTGTGAGTTGCAAAGTCTAGCCAAAATTCCCAATACTTTTTCACATATGCTCTTTTCACAATCCACAAGTGTCTCTATAAGCAATTCCACTAACCCCAAATCAACAAATTTTGATCTTGCTTTGTCATTTGATAATTGTGATGAATTAACCATATGGTAAATTGTTAATAAAGAAGCTTTTGTAGTTGTAGGACAAATTGGCTCTTTTATTAACTTCACTAATGATTCTAAACCTCCATCAATCTTTAATAACTCTTCAACTCTCCATACTTCTTCCATCCTCATGATTTCTTTAAGCAAAAACACTGAATTTCTCCGGCTCGATAAACTTCCACATTTCAAGAACCAAATCATGCAATTTAAAGATGATTTTGATCCAAGAATCGACTTGGACTCACTATCTAGAGGCAATAATATTGTCAAAGCTGATATAATTTCTTCCATCGTTTCAACTTCGTAAACGGATGATTTCTCCGTAAAACAATCAAGTGTAGATGATAACATCTTCCCTGCACCATTTGCAACAAAGCAACGTTTATTCCTTGTACTTTCCTTTATCATATTCCTCATTTTCATTACTAGTTCGCGACTAGACTCTGAGCCTTGCTGCAATTTGCAGCAAGACTCGATCTTTCTAAGAATCCCCGTTACCTCTGATGAGGTAACGGGGATTCTTGGAGTTGGGATCCTCTCGATCCCATATTCTTTATTCGCAACACACCATTCTTGGATCATTTTCCTCATGGTGTGATTAGGAATTGGCTCAAGTGTGTTCAACAATTTTTTAGTGATGGGGCATGTTTGATTTCCGTTTTCGATCCATGTCTCGATACTCACACGATCGTACGTGATCCCCGTCGACAACGTCACAGGATCACTCATCAAATCTAATGAAATTGGACACTTGAAATGGCTAGGAACCATTAACAACTCCATGGTTTTTTCTTCAATTTGTTTCTTTGTGTTACTCCTCTTTGATGCTCTTTTCTTCCTCCATGTTGAAATCATTGTATTTTTATGTTACAAACAACAAAAAGAAATTGGAAAAAAAATGAGTTTTGTTATATGATTTTATTCTTTGCAAGTTATAGAAATTAATGAGATTTTGGTAAGTTTGTAGGGAGTTAATGTGTATATATATGTGAGTTTATTGATGTCACGCGGTTCAACTTTCAATATTTAATATAATTGAATTGTATAGTACTTTCAATTATGTATTATAATTTTAATAGTAAAATATTTCATGAACGTGTGAGCTAAATTGAATATTGACTAAGAAAAATTGTGAAGTGTTGAATAGGAATGGGGAAAAAAAGGGGTGCTAATATAAGAAGATTTGTTTAGACTAGATTTTTATTTTAATTTTTTTTTTATTTGACTAAAGATGTTAGGTTGAAAAAATAAAAAATAAAATAATTGAAAGGTTGGCTTAATTTTGACAGGAGAAAATAGACAAGACAAAAAAACTGGTCGGTGGACTAACCTTATTTTAGTGTATATTTAAATTTTTATAATTAAAAAATTACTTTATGTGATACTTAAAGCAAAGTTGGGTAATTTGTTTATATTATAGATAATTAATAGTTTAGCAAATCTTGTGATATTTATATATACAAAAACAAATGAGTGATCATTTGTTTAAAAAATAAATTAACTACTCCATGTATGAGGATAATATTTTTTTATATATAAAGGAACTAAGAAACACACAATATTTAATTATAAAGGTAGTATATTGAGTCGTGTATCACAAAAATCAAAACAATTTTTTTTTTTGTTAATAATCGTGAGACTAAAAATCTTTTTCCAACTGTCCAATGTAAAAAAATGTCAATATTTTTTAAAATAAAATATAAGAAAAGTGCTACATAAATGAAACATATGGAGAAAAAAAAAGTTATATATTAAAAAAAAATAGAATTCAAAGGAATCAAACTTGTATACGCTTCTTTGTTTTGGTCTACACGGACTCGTTTTACATGTAAAATTTGGTTGTTACATGCAAACCTAACGCGCAAGCTATGAAGTAGTAAGGTCAAAGATATTATTCCCTTCATAATCAGTATTAATTTATGTGATATAATTTGACTTGACGTAAAATAATTTTTTAAAAAAATTATAAATCGTACATTTTTATTTTTATAAACATGGAGAAGATATGAAAGCTATTACTCTTTTCAATCTTATTGAAAGAGCAAATCATGTTAATAAACAAGATATCCAAATATCCTAAGATATTATATGAATAAGTAATTGTTTTAATGTTACTTTTTTATAAATACATGTTTATGATTGTCAATTTTTAAATACACGAAATATATAGATTCAGTAGTAACTAATTATTCTTTAATGTATATTACTTTCATATAGTGCAAACAATCTTATTTCATAGTGATTAGTGAGCATGAGTATCTTTTCTTGAAAATTTTAAAATGATATGAAATTCTTTTTTTACAAAATATAAATTTATGAGTTAAGTGTTAAATTTTTTTAAGAATAATATCATGCTTTTTTTTTTTGGAGAAATTTGTGATATGCAATTATAATTTTTGAATAGTATATATAAATTTAAAATCATTATGAAATTATATATCCAGGCTTAAAAACTACTCCTTTCGTATCAAATTTTGTGATGATTCTCTTTTAGTGTTCTTTTGTCTTTGTACTTAAATAATCATTACATTATTATAATTATAGACTTTAAAAATAATATAACTTTAAGTTTTCAAGAAAATAGATATTTGTATAATTTACAATATATTATATAATTTCTTCTTTTATTTTTATTTGTTTATTATAGTATTTTTTAATATTTGAATGATATATTATTTTTTTTATTCTTTTTTAGTTGTTAAATTTTAACTTGATAAATTGATGATATAATAGAAAAAAATAAATTATTCTTTCTTGATTTGTCAAAAATGTAAAGTAAAAATATTGACTTAGAAAATATTTATCAAATGAATAGAATTGAAAGGAGCATTGAGTAATATTTATGGATGGAGTATATTTTTATTATAATACACCAACAAGAATATAATGTGATTCAAAAATTATTTTTTACTGTTTATGTCATAATTGTTATTTTTAAAACATAATTGAATTTTTTTTTTATGGGTCATCCAATCTACTTAATGATTAATGTACTATTTGGGTAGGAATTGTAGTACATAGGGATTTCGTAGTACATAATTGACTATGAGATTCTCAATAATTATTGATGCATTTAATTATTTTTAGTATGATGGAAGAATATAGAGATCCAAAAATGACTTTCTCCAAAAATATATTTAATTTTAAGTTAAAAGGGTAAAAATATCTAAAAGGAAATTATACATATATATATATAAAAGGTAAACCTTTTTTTTGTTATTGTACGTATGTATATGTAGTTTTTTTTGTATTTTTAATCTTCTTGACAAAAATTCTTATTTCATTACGATAAAAAAGTCAAATCAGGTTAAATAATATACCAAATACAATTCAATAGACAATAGATTCATATTTAGGGCCCGTTTAGTCATAGAATTCCCAAATAATATTTGAGAAAAAATTTAGCAAATAATGTTTGTCGATACAATTTCTTATTATTTGAAAAATATTTTTAGTAAATATCCCAAATTCTTAAATACTAGTTTTTTCTAGTAGTTGGGTCAAATCTCATTATTTGAGATCTTTTGAAAATTAAAATTTTACAAACTTTTATTTTTTACAAAAACACCCTCTATTATAGTTGTTTGCATAATATTACATAATTTTTTACGTGAACACCAAAATAATGATGAAAGATTTAGTGAATACTAAATAATGATATGATTATTGATGAAAATTAGCTCAAGGTAATAAAGTCATGTGCTTCGTCTGTTTCACGATGTATGTAATGATACTTGTTGCACTAACTCCAAATTACCTCATTGCTCTAGTGTCATGGACACTATTTGTTTTTGTTGTAACGATCATCCAGTTAACTCGTAATACAAACTTACAGTGTTTTTAAAACTTATGGGTATAAATATTTCCCAAATTCTATGGCCAAAACACATGGTGAAATTTCACCCAAATTTTCAAGATTATACAGCTTTGACTTCTTCTCCCCTTTTAAATGTACATACAAGAGAGGGATAGAAGCTCTTTTGCAGTATACATACAACAATATATACTTAAGAAGCTAATCATGTCAGAGGTCTAAACTGGTTAGATGTTAATCACTTGCTAAATGTGGCTAATCATGTCCATACACTAGAACAAGTCAAACAAGAATATGCACCAGCAGGATGCTGAAAATTTGCTGGTAGTCCGTTTCAGCCGAGAGGTGCAGCAAAAGCAGTAGAATAGGTGTACTTAGCTATTCGTCCGAGTTAGGCTTGGATTCAAAGAACTTGGATACAGCTTCATAAAGATTCTCTTCCTCGAATGGTTTTGAGACGTAACCATCCATCCCACACTTGAGGCATTTCTCTAATGTGGCATGAATAACATCAGCAGTCATGGCCAATATCGGCATGTGCCACCTGCGCCTCTTTGTACCTCCATCACAGTTCGACACTCCATTCTGTTGTTCATTTGCAATGCTCTCTAGTTCCCTAATTCGACGTGTAGCCTCAAACCTGCAATTTCAAAAGCATTAGTTTTAAAAAACTTGTACTTCAGTTTCTTTGGATGTTCGTGTTCAGTCACTCTTTTCTTTCCCTTGGTACAAAACCACATTGTCCTAAAGACAATCTTTTTGTTTAGTAAAACCTGTATTCCTAGAGGAAGTGAAGTTCAATATGCACAGAATCTCAATACCCAAAAGTGCAGTTCTGAACAAAGAGGTGTACAAATGAGTGAAATAGCATTTGCCATTCAAGTGAAATCCAATCAACATTGCTGTATTAGCAAGTAGGTCGACATGCACCAACGACAAGCAACAGTTTCAAAGAAGTTCCTAAACCTGTGATTGATACAGAAGCTATGCAGACACTAGACATGGTCAATATATACACAAGTTAACATTGATCATCTCAGTTGCTATGTACACAACAAAGAGAATCAGACTTCTGGTTAAAATATGGTTGCTGTCATTTGCGAGCATATTCTTAAATGTCGGAACTCTCAAATGACAGCAACCATATGACGAATGATAAACAGCAAAATTTCCAAGTTTGACTCAACCAAACAACAGCCCCCCTTTTGATTATTAAGCTCAATACTTGAGGAGGTAAGCAACACAAGAATAATAGCCAACACTTTTTCTAAGGCATTACCGAGTATATAAGAGGTTCTTCTCTTATGTCAGTTCAGAAGAGATCCTTTAGTGAAGCACAAAGTGCAAAATGAGAAGAAAAGCAAACAACTGAATTTTGGGTGGACCGTGGTGAGATGGTACAAGTCTTGACAGTCTAGTCGGGATTAAAACTCCAGAAAGTATTAGTTACAAAAGAATGTTGTCCATTTAACTCTCTCATCAGAGTTTTCTCCAAGTTTCAAATAGAATTAAAGTTTTGTTCATTTTTTATTGAGGTAAGTTTCAATTGTTCGAATTCTGTAATCATCAATGACCAACATTGGTAAGCAACCCAAATTCACTGACCAGTCTGTATATATTTATTTGTTAGCAGAGAGCTAAAACTGAATTTTGTAATATATGACTTTAAAAGCTGCATTGTTTCCTTTCAGAAACAAAAAAGTTGTCTATCAGCAATTATCTTATCTCAGATTCGTTGATTAAAGATAATATGTCAATATACTACAGCAGGGGACTTAAATTCCTATAGTTACGGTGTACAAACCAGGACTTGGGTACAAGAATGGGTATTAGTTTAAAACTAGTAAATATTTTATAAAGCTAGAATTGAAACAAGGCTTAACTGTGGATAAAGCACATTAAAATCATTTCTGCAATCAAAAGCACCTTTTACCTTCCACAAGTCCAGTAGAATAATATTTGGTCCCAATACAGAACAGAATGTGAAGACTGTTATTGACACAGCACATTTTGAATTTTCTACTGCCAACACAGACATACTGATGCTTCAACTTAAAGATGGCATAATTCGAATTTGCTCGTCACAAACTTGTAAGTAGAACTACTATGAAGAAAATCATTAGATCAGGAAATGAGAAGTTTCGAACATACCCATCCATTTCTGGCATCTGAATATCCATAAAGCATGCATCAAAATTGTGCGGTAACTGCAGCAATGCAAGAGCAGCTTTCCCACTTTCAGCACACTCTACCTCGGCCCCAAACTTTTTGAGTGCACCAGCAGCAACCCTGCGATTTACTCTATTATCATCAACCACCAAAATTTTCATACCACACAGTAGGCCACGAAGGGATGGAGATCTATTGGACATATCTTTTCCTCGACTCTTGTTTCCAGTTCCAATTAGCTGCTGAAGGCATGCAGCCAGCATACTGGCTCTAAGAGGTTTCATTATCACTGAAAAACCTACTGCTTTAGCCTTTTCATGTTCAGCGTTGGTGATATTAGTCGCCAGAAGGATCATCTTAGGTAACTTGTACACGTGTCCATTTTGATTGATGTTTGGAAAGTGTAAATTTAGGTCAACATCTTCAGATATCCACAAGTCCTTCTCGACCAGAATTATGTCCAGCTTCCTCTCACTGCAGCAAGATAACAAATGCTTATTTAAATTAATGTATCAATATTCCAGTTCATTGTTTTCCCCTTTTGAGGGGGATATCAGCATTTTTATTTAGGCTATTCTCCACTAGATTTGAACATCTTGCTAAACACTGGAACTCCTCATGCAGGGAACTGAATTTAAAAAAAATGGTGTCCTAGTGGCATTTTAAGATCATTGTCACATAAATGACAGATTTGGATATATTTCTACACCTAAATGTTTTCCTCTATGTTGCCTTCTGCTACTATATATTTAGGTGATAATAGCTGGCAGGTGAAATGCGCAGAAATGCAAGAATGAAAAATACTAGTACATATATGTCTGGAAACGTACATTGGTGAACATGAATTCTTTTATCACTGAACAGAAGAAAATCAAACCTCAGTCAATCCTTAGGTAAATGTTTTTTGTTATCAATTATCTGCAATTTGGAACTCCTTTTTCTCTTCTTGTCGATTAAATTCCATTTTACTACACAAGACTGTAAAAGATAAGGCACTTGGGCTTAACACAACCCAAAAAAACTAGCTCATGAGGGAAGGATTGTCCAAGTCCATATTTAGCAAACCACCGGTCGATTCCCCAACCAATGTGAAACTTTAACTTACTCTAACCCCCCTTCACACCCAGGCCAAACCAGAGTGTGGACCAGGAGCCCACAAAGGGATGAAACTGGCTCTAATACCATGCAGATACGGCACTTGGACCTATCCATATAAAAAAACAAACGGTCTATTTCCCAACCACCGACTCAAACAAAGCCTGTAGAGTGCCTACAATGGCCAAAGGCATTTGCTTACAGTTTGTCTAAGATAACATTAATAGTAATGTGTCCTTCAAAGCCTCAAAGTTAGATTGATCTAAGCAATACATGCTTGCAGTTCTGAATCACTTACAGTCTACAGAGTATCAATAGCAAAGAGTTTGCCAAAGGATGAAAACATACTTGGAAACAACAGAAACATTTCTCCCAAGAGTGGCTGCAGCTCTCTTGATGCTACTGACAACTTCTGCCCGAATACCAAGTCTCTTCAGATGGTATCCAGTTACAGCAGCTCTTACAGGCTTTTTATCGACTATAATAGCATTTAGACCTTTGAATGATGTAGGCAAATCATCAGAATGAGATTTTTTCAGATCACCAAGAGCATGTTTTTCGCATCTTAGGAAGCTAACACTGAAAGAAAATGTACTTCCAATCTTGGGACGGCTAATGAAACTTATATGACCGCCCATCAGCTCGACGAGACACTTGCTAATGCTTAGCCCAATACCAGTTCCTCCGTACTTTCTAGAAGTTGAACTGTCTGCCTGCATGAATGGTGTAAAAACTCGTTCTTGTGTTTTTAAAGGGATCCCGATTCCAGTATCCTCAACACTAACCATTACAGTGACATCCCGAGAGAGATCATCATTCACCACCTTAGTTGCAGATTCATAGTCCAACCCATTGTCAGCAATTATGTGCTTGAAGGTGTTCCAAGTGTTCTGGCTATCAGCAGTTTCGTAACCACTTAAGGTCTTGAAATGAAAAGCACTAGAAGAAATAACACTTTCAGTTCCTCCATTCAAGCAGGTATCCTTTTTGTCACCATCTTTGTTTAGTTCTACCAGATGAACTTGAACAAATATATGCCCTTGTAAAGTGAACTGTCAAAGAATAAACTTTTGGTGATCATAATGATTCAGAAAGAACAAATAGTGAAGTTCTAAAGGTTACTATTTCCTTGTTTGAATGCAACATTAAAATAGAAAGCAGACAACACAGAAGGTAAATCTTAACTTTCTCAGAAATTTCACATTCCACAAATTAAAGGAAAATTTTAAAATTTATTTCTCCATTTCCATCTTTTCCTATCCCTTTCTTTTTACCTCCTAGTTTCCAATAGCATAAAGAGGGACTTGTGCTTATGGTTCAGGGATGAGAAGATTGCCTGTTTAACTTACTTTGACAGAGTTGTTCACCAGATTTGTTATCACTTGTCTGAATCTTCCTGGATCCCCCATAACAATTTCAGGCACTTTATCAGAAACAAAGACGGCCAACTTCAGTTCCCAATAAATCATTTCATGTCAGGAAGCAGCACGAGGAGCAATTGAAATCCAAAGGTAACAGGCAGCAGAAGCGAAAGAAATTAGTAGTTGAAGACATAGTGGCTCAGTTTAACACGTAAACCAACAGACAACAACAATAAATTACTTTGTGCATGAGAATAAAGGAACTTATGAATGTTCAAGGGCGTACCTCAAGACTTTTGCGCCTTGAATCATCAGAGAATAAAGAGAGAACATCATCCAGTATAGAGCGAAGGTCAAATGGAACTGCCTCAAGTTCTAACTTGCCCGCTTCAATTTTGGCCCGATCAAGCACTTCATTTATCAATCTTATCAGTGACTTCCCACAATCTTGAGCAGTCTGAGCATAATCTCTTTGAGTTGAACTGAGATCCGTATCTAAGAGCAGAGCAAGCATTCCTGAATTCACAATCATACAGCAGGCGCTTAAAAGTTAGATGTACCGCATTTAGTTAAATTGCTATTGAGATAATACTGCAAATCAATATGAGAATAGCTCCTTACCTAGGATTCCATTCATAGGAGTTCTTATTTCATGTGAAACAGTAGCCAAGAACTGGATTTAGCAAAACAGAAAATGCACGTAAACATCTCAAGATCAATTTAATGGAATAAAGAACCTCGAATTGAAAAAGGTGTTAAGAGACCTGGGATTTGGCAACATCAGCTGCTTCAGCTTGAACCTTTAGCTCCTGCATTTTATGGAAATCATCCTCTACTTTATTAATGTGGCTTGCAGATTTGTAACCCGTGTAGCCAATTAAGAGGAAGATGGTAAAAATGAAAACTGCAGTGGTCACTGCACCCCAAGATATAGGAGCTTCGTAAAGATACCTGCAAAGGCACAAACATATCAAGGCTCCACATCGAAGTTTGAGCTTTCTTACACAGAGCACCTGCTATCAAAGAAGGATGAGCACTTACCTACAAATCATCTCATGCTTACGAAATGGATCACCAAAATCAAGCTTGCTCACATGCTTTAGTGAGGCATCACCATTGGGGTTCTGGTGTCCGTACATGATTAAAGGATCAGAAGAGTTTGTAACATCATAGACATTTACAATAATTGGATGATTTGCAGCAAGTTGCCCAAGTAGACACTCAACGAGAGACTCAACATCGAAGGCTCCACCAAGATACCTGCGTTGAGTTAAAGAGCTAGATGAAACTATTACCAAATAGCAGCAGAACCTGCCCAATCTCACCCATCACCTGGTAATTGACCAAAAACATGTCTTCAAGTAATATGCACTAAAACAAATGCACATGAATAATGGTTACTGAGAGAAATCTTGCAAGACCCAAAGAATAGATGACTCATCCCTTCTACGTGGTTAGCACGGCAAATAAGACTACGCCTACATCTTTAAGAATCTGACTTAAGCTACATATATTTCCATTAGCCGGCTTATGGGAGTGAGAAGCAGAAGGATCAAATGCTCTAAGTTTGAGACAAAATGATGACTGGCATTAGGCGTCCATGCAAAAACCAAATAAACTGAACTTTTCTAAAGCAAAAAATGATGAGCAAATATCTTAAGACCATCGAGCATGCTACAAATTCATCCAATTAGAAAACGACGTTGACACAAGCTTACCCTGCAGTGGCTTCAACCCGTTCATGCTCCGTCGGGTTTTCCGGAAGCTTGGATCTGTAAACAGGGAATGTCAAAACAACACCAAGGTGATGAGAACCCAGAAGCCTGAAGGGGCTCGTAAGAACTGCCTTCCCACTGGCCCTAGCTCTTAAGATGTTTTCGCGATCCTCCTGAATGAACCAGGGAAAAGAACAGTCCAATAAAATAAGCTAGCACAACTAACAAAAAGTTAAAATCCATGGAACTTTCTGAACTAATTCATTACCTCTCCTGACATCATATCAAGTGATTCTATGTAGGAAACCGTCTCTTGTGAAAATATAACTGGAGAATACTCATCTCTAATTGGTGAAGGCTCTTTTTCCATTGTTTTAATAGTCCATCCATGTTCTCTCTCAAATTCTTCCCTTTCTGAGTTTAAAACTCTCTCTGCATATGCCACCCCACTTAATAGTGGCCTCTCAAAGGCAGTTCTAGCAGTGTACTCAGCAAAAGTACTCTGCAGTTTCAGTAAAGAGAATCAGAGTCCAAATGGAGCAAAACACCTATCGACAATTCACACAGCTGACAACTGAGGCATACTCTTTACGACAACAACATACCCGGTTGAGACTGGGGAGGGGAGTGTAGAGTGTGTACGCAGACTTATCCCAACCTCAGAGGTAGAGAGGTTGTTTCCGATAGAAACCACCACTCAAGAAAAAATAGTCAAGAATAAAGAAGCAATGGAAGTACTCGAAACAACCTATAGCTACAAAAACTGAAGAGCAAGAAACTACAAGAGTAATACTACTACTAGTAGTATGGACAAACAACAAGACAATGCACTCCTACATACTAAACTTCTACCCCTAATCCATATGCTCCACAAGGTCTTATTTTAAAGTCATGTCCTCGATAAGCTGTGACATACTTGTTTCTTTGTTAAAATATTGAGCCAAGCAAAGACAAAATATTCACAAGACACAATATGTAGACAAATAAAACTCATCAAAATTGCAAAAGATAAAACAATACCACCAAGAATTATAGAGAATCAAATTTATACCTCACTAAACTAAACTAATTTCACAACTTTATTCAGTGCAAAATGAGAAATTGTAACCATTTAAGAGCACAAACCTGATCAATTGCTGATGGATTCTTCTCATAATGGAAAGTTGATACAAGTATAGCAAGGGCATGTACATGATTCACACTAACACTGAATTGATCTTGTAACATCCTTGCCCTTTGATCACACATACTCACAAGCCCTTCTTTTCTTTTCTCCTTATGATTAGCATCCATATAAAAGTACAAAGCAATGCTAAAAAATGTACACCAGATAATCCATAAAGCAAAAAGCTTTGGAAGATAACCCTGTGAAGGAACAAATCTATGCTTTCTCTTTGAGTTAAATTGCTCACTCCCCTTCACACTCAACATATGGTGGCTTTGCATCTTCTCACCCATCACCACAACAACAAAAAAAATACTCCTCAATATTCTTCAAAATTCTCCTAACCACAAAGAAACAAGAAACCCCATATAGACAAATGAGCTAAAAATCATTGCTTTCTGCAAAAGTACAAGTAATTTCTTAAAACCCCATTTTTTTAAATCATAGGGAAAAGCAAAGAATTCACTAAAAATGTGCTAAAGGCAAAAAACCCACCAAGAAAATGAACAAACAAATCATTTCACCCCACCCCTCTCTCCTCACACTATCATGAGGATGGAAAGAAGTGAAACCCAAGAAAAAGAACCAATTTTTTTCCCCCTCATGGAACAACAAGCATGGCTTGACTGCAGTCCTAAAAAGATGAAAAAAAAAATAATCCCAAATTCCAAGAACTCCTCACACAGTGTCTGTCAATGGGGTTTTTGGAATAAAAAAATGAAAAATCACTCCAATCATGTGCTCTCAAGCATGGAGTTAAGTTGAAGAATCTAGACAATGAAGAGCATGTTCACTGTTTTCTCTTCATTATTATATATTTACACCATAAAAAATTACTACACTGAGCTCAAAAAAAACCAGAAGAGAGTAAAAACCAGCTAAAGAGCAAACAAACAAACAAAACCAATCAAGAAAGCGAAAAGAGAAGCACTTTTCAATATTTTTAGAAATAGAGAACTAAAACAATATATAATTTTCTTTTAAATTTATAACAAGGAAAAAAAAAATTAATGTTTTGAGCTATATAGAAAATAAAGTCATGGCATAATGATAAAATTATTATCACAATTAGAGTTTTGTCCTAATTTTTTTTCCTCGTTTGAATTGAAGTTTATTTTTTTTCTATAAAAAAAAGTCAAAGTATTATTATAGATGTTTGAACTTTTTCTGAATGCAAAATATATTTACGGTTTGACTTTTTCATCGATTAAACTAGTGAAATTTTGATGCGAGTTTAGTCAAATATTAAGCTTAAAATTTAGTTATTATCACTTAAAATCATAATTATAAAATTCTAATTTTATCCTCTCTTTCTAATTAATCCCATATTGGTGTACCTATCATTTTTCTGAAATTCTACCTAATCAAATTAATAGTACTAAAGTAGATGTATAATTAATACTAGGACTAGTTCTATTAGACATAAATTTACTATAAAATATTATACTACTGAAATTTATTACCAATATTGTTCTACCTAATACACCCCTATCAAACAATTAATCCATTAATTCCTTACATTATTTCTTTTAACCTTTTAAATTGCAAAAGAATTTTTTTAAAAAAATATGGATCCAACAAAAAGTAATTCAATCTTTTGACAATCTCATATATACATTTTTTTTTTCTTCCGTCTCTTAGACTTTTCACTCTCACATGGGTCTCTAGTAATCTTTATTATTAAATAATTAATTAATTAATTTATCTATTTATTTATTTAATATATATTGGGGAGTGATGGGCTTTCTGTTATTTTCTCAGGTTGTAGGGGCAATAAAAGCATCAGGTTTGTTGAACACTGCAGGAGGAGATGATTACCTGGATATTTGGGTCCATTTTGATATGCATAATATCAAAATATTTTCAAACTTTGTATTGATAAATTAATTTTTCTTTATTTTTATAAAATAATATTTGTGATTAAAATTTTTAAAAATATACATAATTTTATGGAGATCTATTAGTAAATCATTATAATAACTTGTTCATTTAATTTAATTCTTTTATATAATTGAGATAATGCATAAGTACCTCTCAATCTATGTCCTAAGTATCAGAGACACACTTATACTATATTAAGTTTCTATTACCCTTTGAAATTATTTTATTAATAATTTTCTACCATTTTTCTATCTACGTGGCACTATCTTGTGAGCCTAACGCTGATTATTTTTTTCAAGCTAGTATTATGTAGGCCAAAAAGAGGTAGAAAATTACTTATAAAATAAGTTCAGGAGAGTAATGAGACCTTAATATATTTTAAGTGTGTATCTGAGATATCGAGCATAGATTGAGAGGGTATTTATGCATTATCCTTGTATAATACGAAAAGTTCTATTCACGTCAAACAAGAGCTTTATTTTATGTTATGTTCAAATAATTAAAAAAATAGAATTTAGAATCTCCATTATTTATTTATTTTTTTGGGAGAATTTAGAATTTAAGATCGTGATTTTATTTCCTATGTACAGACACAAGCCTTGAGTTTTTTTTTCATCAAAGTCCACATCAATCTCATTTAATTAGAGGAATTTAGTTTAAGCTTTATATGTTTATATAATATATACAAATCATATTTAAATTAATTGACATTCTAAAATGCATATCAAATATCAAATAAGAAACTAAAACTAAAAGTTAGAGCACATTCAAAAAAATATAATTGTATGTAATGCTTTCGTCAAATCAAATACACAATTTAATATTATGTCATTTAGCTAATTTAGAATCGATAATATCAGCAATAACATTTAAATCAGTAATTCAATTTTATATAATTAACAATTACAGTGAATATCAAAATAATAAAGTATGAGTATTTCAAAATTTTATCTTATATTATTATTATAAACATAGTCGAAATGATTGATAAATATATTAGCTAACATAGTGAGAAAGCATTTTGCTCTTTTTATTAATATATATTAGTAAATTTTAGTTAGTGGAATAAGTTAGTTTGATAATGATGCTTGAAGATAAAAAAATAAAAAATAAAAAAGTAAAATTGTGGGAAAATGTAAAAAGTAATAATAAAAATTAATAAGAATCATATTATATTATATTATATATTATTTAATTAACGAAAAAGTATAAATCGCTTTCACATATCTTTGAGAAAATGACTTGGCGACAAGGATCAGATCTTATTCCTGATTAAATTACGTCAATGTCCAAATGATCTTGACCGAATTTTTATTTTTTTAATAAACAAACATTATTATAAATTTATAATTTATGTTTATTCTCTTTCTGCCTTATATGATTTTATTTCTTTTTAAAAAAAATCTTCTTTGAGAAAAGGGATAAAAGAAGAGAAAATTGTATATAATAGTAAATTAATGACCTAAAATAAATGGAGTAGTTATGATTTGATTTAATTGTGCTCTATAGCAAACGTTAGCAAAAGTTTGTCAGACGCCTCTCTCTCAAAAATCTCGTTCGCCACTCTCCTATTCTCGCTCACCACTCTCCCTCTGCTCACCTCTCTCGCTTTATACACAGAAGTGTATAAATTCTGGTTATGTTTTGTACAAAGTGAGATAAAATTGTATATATAGATGCAAAAACATGTATCTTCGTGTTATACATTTAATTATACAATTTACAAACATTTTACTTCAATTCAATTGTAGACAAATGCAAATTTTATATAAATATTGCAGAGAAAAAGACCAACGAATTATACAATTGTCAATTATACAATTGCAGTGAAATACAATTTTCTCTAGCTTTATACAACAGAAGTGTATAGATTGTATTTCTGTTTTTGTATAAAGCGAGAGAAAAACTATGTTTTCTTGCTATACACTTATAATTATACAATATACATATATTTTAATTCGATTTAATTGCATGCATAAGCAAATTTTATAAAAATATTACAGCGAAATAGGCAGCGAATTATACAATTGTGCATTATACAATTGCAGTGAAATAGGATAGCGAATTATACAATTGCAGCAAAATAGGCTAGCGAATTATACAATTTAGGCCAGTGAGTTATACAATTGTATATGTATAGCGAATTATACAGTTTTATATTTGCTATAGAGCGCAATTATGCAAACTTTGCTATAGCATACAATATGCATTTTTTATTTGCTAAATGTGAAAATTGCCCATAAAAGAATGGGTATTTTATAAGAATGGTCTTATAAATAAATAAATTACAATAATAATATATTTCATATTATTTCATAGAAAATAAAAATAATAATTAATAATAATACTCATTTATTTTAAGGTGTAGTTAAAATTAACAATAATTTACTAGGAGCTTGGCATAATTTCTTCGCTCTTACTTAAAATTTTCAATTTTTAATTTTTTAAATATGAAAAATCTTAGTAGCAGATGATTTTTCGTTTAATAAACTAGATATATTAAATCAAATTAATTGAGGTTTTAATGTAAGAATCAAATACTGAGCGAGCAATTAAAACAAAAATTCAGGTGAAGTGACAACTAAAGTTCGACTAAGTATGATACAATATATTATATAAATAAAATGGACGTGTTTAAATATTTTTAAATTTGGCATGAGTTATTAGTTTTATTCTCGAACTGTTGACAATTTTTTAAACACTTTTTATTTGACTAACTTAACTAAAATATACCCTCAATCTTGCAACATAAGTGAAACACACCCATTAATTCTTGTCAAGTTTATGGCTGCTTTCAATACTTCTCTCGATTTTTGATTAAGAGCCTCCTATTCTTACAAAAAATTGAGATCACTTGTTATGTTGATAAATCGAAAGTGTATCCAGTTTAGTTAATAATTAAGTATATAAAGTAATGTTTTTAAGGCCAAATACATAAGCAGATCCCTAAACTTATTGGGTTTTTTGCCTCATGTATCTCAACTACGTCATTTTCCTATTGAATCATAAATGAGCCCCCATAATTTGTTTCATTTAAACAAACACCGTTGTCTGGTGTGGAACCAGATTTGTGAAGGGTATTGATAGATGATACATATGTTGTTCAACAACTCATTAGTCCAATTGATAGTGAAAATATTCGAAAATAATTGTATTTTACTTAAATTAAACAAATGAAACTAACACGGTTTTACTTCATTGCTTCAATCAAAATTATTACAATTCAAACACAATTGAAGACATTTACAATAGAAAAGCGATCAAAATCAACCAACAATGTTTTAAAGAAATAAATTATGGGTGATTCAATGATTTAATAGAAAAATGACGTAATTAAAATACATGAGAGAAAAAACTCAACAAATTTAAAAATCTGTTTATGTACTTATCCAATTTTTAAAGTTATCAATAA